ATCATTAACAGAATAGAATTCGTTATTGTGAAGATTTCTGGATCCGAAGTAAACTTAGACCACCTCCTCTGGACAAAAACAAATTAGGGGTTTTGTGACCAAGGTATCTGCGTTCTGTCAATTCGTTCCTACTTTGTTTGCAAGGCTCATCAGAGCTTTACATGCGGGTCAGGTGTGGTCTAAGCTCACCCCTGTATGAATATGCATGTCTCAGTGAAATGCCCAGACAGATAACAACTTTACCGAAGAACGAACGTCGACTTGCCATAGAAGTACTATGCATTTCTCAAATATATGGAAAATACGCTATATAAGGACCGTGAAGATTACAGATTCGGCTGTTTAGTTGTTTCAAAATACATTATCGCGCGCATTTTTGGAAGAGTGGCGGTAAGCCAATGATATTTTCGTTTGTTCTTGATAGTTCTCCTGTACGCACTTGCTGTATTTTTTGCAAACATTTGACAGCATTTTGGGTTACTTTTAAGTCTTTTCCCCTTAAATTTTCTTCCACACTCGCTTCTACCGTGTTGTTGCTGTATATCGTGTGATAGTACGCAAGTTGGATTTTTATCTACACTTTTCCAAATGATTTGTACACCAATTGGTCACTTACCTGAACTTTTCAGCATACTTATTGAATTCTCTTCAATACAGGCTGCTAAGTATGGGCCAAGTTTTGCCCGTCAAACTATCGGTTTTAAGTAGCTGCCATATGGCGATCCATCGCTCACGGACACTGACGGTCGACAGGGATCCCCATCGTCTAACATTCTCCGGTCATTGTTAAAACTCCCGATTTATATTTACGTGCGTATGTATTTTTAGCTTTTCTTTAAAATAATTACCAATAAATTCCAGCACGTCTTTACTGATGCACATTTTCCTTTATGCAATTACGTATGCGCATTTGCTTCTAGATTGGTCCTCACAATTGCAGCCGCTTTTCATGATAAATTAAAACTTATCAAAAATAAAGTGGTGTGATTGTTATATGGGTTTCTGCTACTATTTTGTCATTATATTTAAACTTCTCTGGTTGGATTTTAAAAAAAATTACACGTCTTAATTGACAACGTGCTAAGCGATAAAACTCGTTGTTTTGTCGTTTGATAGATTCTCTCTCTGGCCCTCTCTGATTCGTTTAAGATAACTCGTACACATTTTTCTCTACATTTAATTCGGATTCTATTTTATATCAGCTTAACCTCGTTAGATGACCCTTGAATGAGGGTTGAGCATCCATCAACTTCAGTCGTTACACTCCTGCTGTTGAGTTGCAATCTGCCCAGCCATGATATTCCTAGACTTCCATAACCCTGCCGTCGAGTCACTCCTCCTTTCCCGATTCAACGCTGCGAAACAAGGGTAAGCGATTAATCAGTCCGTCTTAGTTACCATACTTTTATTCTAGGCTGAAACATGAAAAAATGGACTATACAGTCGCTGATTTTGACCGAGTAATTTATCGCTTGCACACTGTGGAGGGTGACAAGTCAAAACTTATGGTCAGCCTACTGGTAAATTTCTTCGACGAACTGCGGGAATACGACGTTGAAGGCCTCCTGCGTCGTGAGTACGGCGAGTACCTTTGTTCCGAGCCACAGCCGGG